CTTTATACAATTTGACTTTCTTGGATTCATCAATCAATCGTCTATTTCTGTGCTGCGGAGTTCACATGTGGATATTTCAGATGGAAAACGTGACAAACAAATATTTAGAGAGTGTTGTGTACAAATTCAGCAATGTAAGCATGGCTTGACCTTAGGAAAAATGCCCAAGAAAAAAAATCCCCAACGAATTAGGGGTGAGGGGGTGGGGTAGGGGTGGGGTGGGGTGGGGTGGGGTGGGGTGGGGGTGGTGGGAGTCACAAAATAGTCAAAAAACACATTCTAATTGTTTTATTTGAATCAGTATAATATAATAACAATTAGATCTATAATATTAATACAAAACAATTATTTACGTGGCACAATAGGAACTTTTGACTTACAGTAATAAAAAGTTCACAAACTTACAGTACATAAAAAGTTACACACTTCATTAGCACCGACATTACAGCTGAGGTTTGTTTACCCAGCCTGAGGTTCCAGCCAGCCATTGAGGAACTCGGGCACTGTCTATCGACCCTCGGCTATGTTCAGACTCGGGTTTAACAAATGTTTCTGAAGCTGGTAACGCTTCTTCCTCCCCGGATGCTTGTCAAAGACATCTTGCACTAAGACAGTCGAGGCAGCGATTTTCTTTCTGGAACCACGCAATTGTGCATCAGAAGTATGGACAAACAAGGTTTTCATAACGTTAATTTTTTTAAGAATCTTTTAATCCAATAAATCCCTTTAACTTTATATGCTAATACATTTAACTCGAAAATAAGTAGTCATTAATCTATGTGAGCTTATTAAAAAAAAACCTCTTAGGGTGGTATTATTTCCTTGTTGTCTTTTTCCCTTGTGACTGACCGTCTCCGTGGTCCAGTGGTAGGGCGTTCGCCTGGAGAGCGGAAGGTCCGGGGTTCTATCCCGGCCGCGTCATATCAAAAGACGTTAAAGGATAGTACTTGTTGTTACCCTGCCTGGCGCCTGACCTTTCGGGGGGCTAAAACAACTGGTCGGCTCGGAGTATTCATGTTAAACTGCGGCATGGTATGTCAGTGCATGGGATAGCACTATAAATCGGCATCAGTCCGGACTAGTACAAGCAGCCTCACACACGTGCTTGCACGTCGCTATGTAAGTGCAATAGTCTTGGACGCGACGTTAAACCCCCTTTCATCTCACCTCACTTTGACTTTTTTTTCCGATCACCGAGGCACTGTGACGTAACGTATACTGCATCGCAATCTTCACTGATTCCTGGATTCGCTCTTTCAACCTTCTCAACAGATGCCACACCACTAATCATTTCCACCAGAACCAAAAAAATCGTGTTTGTTTTGTCAGTGTGTCGTGGTAGAATTCCAAACTGATGCTTTACTAAATAGGCTCACTGTGAAAACGGTCTCTCAGTATTTTCCAATATATACCCCCGCTAATGACATTGCTGGATTATTGCAAAAAGCTGCGTAAACCATACTCACTCACTCAATCGCTTTTACACATACACGTGCCATTATTGTTAAAATTATCATAGATTTTTCTTCTCTTACCGGTATATACTCTCAATGACTATCCGCATATGAAAGTGTTGTGTGAGGGTATACAGTGAGTGAGTGAGTGAGTGAGTTGGGATTAACGCCGCTTTTAACAGTATTCCAGTTATATCGCGGCGTGTCAGCTTAATGTGGAAGGAGAGCCCGAAGTGATGCAGGTCTCAGACATATACCACTTCGGTGAAACCCACGAGCATGGGTATGGTGCTGACAAACCTAGAAACATAATCGGGGCGAACCGTCATTCGAACCCACAATCATAGGTTTCTGGTGTGGCCAAGGGACGTAACTCTGCACAGCGAATCGCGGCGCCTTAGACGACTGGGCCACCCGTGCTCCCGAAGGTATACTGTATGGTGGCTATAAGACAGTTCAGATGAGGTTGTAGGTTGTTCTTAAAATCGCTATTCACGAACGCTACAGATGAGCAGCTGAAACGTTCTATGTCCGATGGAAATCTTAATTCTTTACGTTTCAAACATCACCCCACAAACATCCTAAATCTCAATTGTTAAAATTGTTTAATATTGACATCCTCAAAGGGGTATTCACAAAAAAAGACTCACTCTACTTGTCAAAACATGAGTTTTAGAGCAATATGTTTGTGAACGTCACGATATTTCTTATATTTATATCGCTTGACCTACAATAGTGAATAGTACAAGCAGCCACACACGCACGCACGCACGCTTGACCTGCAATAGTGAATAGTACAAGCAGCCACACACGCACGCACGCACACACGCTTGACCTACAATAGTGAATAGTACAAGCAGCCACACACGCACGCACGCACGCTTGACCTGCAATAGTGAATAGTACAAGCAGCCACACACGCACGCACGCACGCTTGACCTACAATAGTGAATAGTACAAGCAGCCACACACGCACGCACGCACGCACGCACGCTTGACCTGCAATAGTGAATAGTACAAGCAGTCACACACGCACGCACGCACGCACGCACGCTTGACCTACAATAGTGAATAGTACAAGCAGCCACACACGCACGCACGCACGCACGCACGACCTACAATAGTGAATAGTACAAGCAGCCACACACGCACGCACGCACGCTTGACCTACAATAGTGAATAGTACAAGCAGCCACACACGCACGCACGCACGCACGCTTGACCTGCAATAGTGAATAGTACAAGCAGTCACACACGCACGCACGCACGCACGCACGCTTGACCTACAATAGTGAATAGTACAAGCAGCCACACACGCACGCACGCACGCTTGACCTACAATAGTGAATAGTACAAGCAGCCACACACGCACGCTTGACCTACAATAGTGAATAGTACAAGCAGCCACACACGCACGCACGCACGCACGCTTGACCTACAATAGTGAATAGTACAAGCAGCCACACACGCACGCACGACCTACAATAGTGAATAGTACAAGCAGCCACACACGCACGCACGCACGCTTGACCTACAATAGTGAATAGTACAAGCAGCCACACACGCACGCACGCACGCTTGACCTACAATAGTGAATAGTACAAGCAGCCACACACGCACGCTTGACCTACAATAGTGAATAGTACAAGCAGCCACACACGCACGCACGCACGCTTGACCTACAATAGTGAATAGTACAAGCAGCCACACACGCACGCACGCACACACACACATACACACACACACACGTGCAACTATCTTGAACGCGACGTTGAACCGGATATCACCTCAACTCACCTCATAAGCGTAATGTGTATTCAGCCGTCGAAGAAAATGACTTAAAACCAAAACACATTAAGAAATATGTATTAATTCAAACAGACACACGCACAACCATAGTGTTATATATCACTTCATGCTATATAACATAAAAAAAAAAAGAGTTAAAAAAGTATCACCTCATTCCAAAAATAAATGGTTCATCAACAGGACCCCCAACAAAGGTGAAAAGCATACTATTTTCCTTGCCTATGTTTGCATGTCAGATCAAACGATTGTTTGACATTACACCCAATGACGTAACCTTGTATCACAAAGGTCAGCATGTCTTGGGGCCATTGGCGGACATTAAATGGACATGTATTGTCCAAACATAACTAAACGTTTGACAGCCACTGACCATGGCCTTAAGGTATCCCGCCACAACTGTCATGCACTTGAGATTAGAAGAATACGACTGCATTGAAACCTGTTTCCAATACCTACGTGAAAATGAATAAAATTAGTATTTTTGTAAATCTGTATCTAATTTGAACGCATGAAGTTTAACAAAAATATCACATCATTACTTTCAATTATATTTGATAATATTATTTCCTGAACCAGACTTAAAAAATGCATGTAGACATTTTAGGGGTGATGTTGATGTTGATGTTGATGTTAATATTTTGTCGTAATTTATGCAAACTTTAGAAGAAAACAAAGTTCTCATTATAATTTTAATTGGAAAACGATATTTACGGTTTATAGATGTAAACTGAAGGATGTAAAACTTTTAAATTTTCAGTACAGATTTCTACATGGAATTATCTACACAAAGAGGAACTATTAACAATGAACCTTGTGAACAATAGCGTTTTGTAGTGCTGTCAGTGAGGACATCAGTCATGTCGTTTGGGAATGTAATGAAACTAAACAATTTTGGAATGATCTTGAACTTTGGCTTGATAATTATTTTTAACAAAAAAATAAATTGACAATATATTTTATTTGGTTTGGTTCTAACTACTCTAATACTTTAATCAATCATATAGTTTTTGGGGAAAAGGCATTTTCATGGAAGTGGAATTAAAGGAACCAAACCGAAATTAGATATACTTTAAATCTATTTAGAAACATATATTCAATCGAGAAATTTATTGCTATAATATATTTATTGCTGTTGATACATGCCATGTTTGAGTCTGATTGTGTGTTGCAGCTCTTTTGTTTTGAAATAGGACGATGTTTGTGTCCAACCCTTTAATTTTATAAAGATTGTATTGTGCCATTCTATGCTATCCGACATATGTTTTTGATGGAATACTGTATTATTCTCCAACTCTGGGAACAATAAAAACGATTTAAAAAAAAAATTAAAAAAGTTCCCATTTTTTCACATGTTGTAAAGTGCTTTGTCATATATATTTATGATTCAGATTTATCGAAATGATAGGAACAATATATCAGAAGTCAGGAGTTCAATGCAATTTTTTTCTTTCATTCTTATACTACAGGTGGGTAAGCTGATAATCATTATTTAGGCGTTTAGGTCTGTTTGAACTGTATATCGCGCCAACTTCTATCCTCACACAACAATTACAATCTCTTACGTTTTAATCCACAATGTTTTGTAATGTATCTTTACACTGTCCGAAACTGTGTGATTGGCCGATGAAGGTAAACAAAGAACAAAGTCTACGCGCACCTAATTGAAATATGCTAATATTGCCCAAGAGCCGGTGTCACGTGACCGTGACGACAACCAGAAGAAAAGTAGCGACTGGTATCGCCTTGCGCATCCATCATCCGGGTCTTCGTCAAGGTTAGATCTCTCTCCTTGCTCTGCTTTCACCATGGCTGATAACAAACTTACGGTTAAGCAGAAATTTACTAATTTCTGTTCGTTTCTTTACAATTCTGAAACTGGTGAAGTCCTTGGAAGATCTGGCAGGAATTGGGGTAAGTGTATATTTGCTTCTCCACTTTACCATCGAAAACAGGAGCGATCAGCACCCCCGTGCATGTTTGGTCGGCTTCTGTTCAGACATCACATTACTACAGAAATATCAAATGCTATACGTGTTTTTAAATTAGGATCGTTTGCATATAGCAGCATTATTAACAGTGTCGGGCCTGTTGTTATTCTTTGAGGTAACGGCAACCCACAATGATGTAAAGATCTAGATGTGACTTGTAAGAGAAATTTTCCATGGGCACATAACCTTAGTGCTAGTTTCGTTACAACTTGTAATGAGTTATTATCAAGTAAGATCCTCTGTCGGAAAAACTCTTATCATTAACTGTTGATGTTGTTATATAATATAATGGGTACATAGACGTGAGTATTTGACACCATGCTGGTGTTTCAGATTGCTAGTGTGTTGGGTCTTTGACCCTTGACAGACTTTGTAGTTTGTAGCACAAGAATCGCCATTGCAATATTTCCAAATAATGGAGCCCCGAATTGTCCCGTCGAAGGCCATCATATTCATCTTTAATGGGTTACCAGACCCATAAGTATTCAAAAATGTCTAAAGCTCAGTAATGTTTTTATCAAAACCCAAATATTTGAATTTTCTTATAAATGAAATTAATGACAAATATTATTTGAATCTGTTGAAAAAAGCTTTTCAAACAGTCAATTTCTTGTCTACACAGTCCATGTAATATTTATTTAAAAAATTCTGCAAGTTGACAAACATACTAGTTTGGACTTTCTATGCAAGTGACCAAATGTGGACATTGTCAGATTAATGTCCAATTTAATCTAGTCCTTTAGCAAATAAATTCTGCTTTGGTCTGGTTAAAAGGATATTTTCAACAACAATCGTATATCAGCAACTGACTGTTATTCAAATCTTACGATTTTATACTTAACACATTAAGGCTTAAGACATTCGATTTTACAGTTCTATATGGTTTTCTTTCAAAGGTATGGTTGTTAGGCAAATAGTATTATGCTAATATGCAGGCTCCATGGAAGAAACTGAATGCCGAGGGTCTTTTCAGGAGCTTTGGGGGTGATTGTGAAGATGAGGACAATTCACTGTTTTGTCAGCTTAATGCCTGTTTCCCTATGGTCTCAGGTCACCCTGAAGAGAAATGTAGGTCAAATACTGTCTCTCACTAGGCCATGATGCTTGGGTGATGGGTGGCGAGGGGGGAAAGGGGGTTCTGTTAATTATGACCTAATGTTTGTTTGGAGAGCTGCTCAAGATTTTACTGTTTGTTGATTTGAATTGAAGAATCTATAAAATAGTGGTTTCATGTGACAGACATACCAGTGTGTTAGGGGGCTTTGACATGTACATGACAGCTTAAATCTTTTCAGTGTCCAAAAATGTCTTTTCACTGTACAAAATAGGTTGAATTTAGACAACATGTCTTTGTCATTCAAATGTAACCTTTAATTATCATTGAATAGTTGTGAATGAATAATTAAGAGTAGATTCTCTGTGGTAAGTAGAAGCAACTCCGTAGTCATTGTTCCTTTAAGTTGTCACTCTTGGATAAATGTACTCAGTGAGGTTGTTTTGCTAAACATGTCAGCACTTGCAATGATCAATAATTCCATAGAAATCAAAAGTGCAACGACTCCTGTTATTTTCAGGACAGTTCAATTCATTTTCATAGGTGTGGCAATGATCTTTTATCAAGGGTACATGGGAGGTTGAAGATGAAAATGATGTAGACAAATGCTAACATCCTATCATTCCCACATTGTGTTTTGTTAGTAACTTACAGCCATGTTTTTTCTGAAACTTACCTTAATTTGCCTGCACTTTTATTTGAAATACCATTGTGATTTCAGAAAGTTGCTATTAATATCAAATTTGCTAATCTTGTATTCACACAGTATGATTTATGGGGGATATACAACTTCATATGTATCCTAAAATAGCCTCCCTGACTTTGTCAATGTCATTTGCTGCATCTAGACTTTCATTTCAATATTTATCTTAATTTCTCTCAAAGTGTCTGTAGGGAATAAAGTTGAGTTCTGAGTTTGTCTGTTGCCTGTTTGATTATATTGATTTTACAAGATCCATGGCAGAGATCACGTCGTTACTATGGTTTCATGGTGTGTGGACAACACTGAGTAACAAGTTCAATGCAAACACATTCCCATTAGCGGATCAACTGCATAAACTCATTTTTGAAATTACTTCTGTCTCCTTTTTTTGGGAGAATATTTGTGGCAGAAATGTCTGAAAAGATGTGATTCTAGCTGAAAATATTGAAATTAACCTGAAACAATTACAAACTCTATCATACTCGTTACATATAACATAACTCCTAAAGAAGCCTGACATATCCCTCATGACAACATATATTATCTTTAGAAATACAAACATGCTACGAAGCTGATTGAATGATTTGACATGTTATTGTTAAATCAATAAGTTATCAATTTAAGAGTTACACTATTTGGCTTGTGGTAGCCCCATTGTGAAATTCTTGGGATTCTGATTATGTGTACAATTACAAAGCTGTTCTGCAATCTCAATGCAATCATTACATGTAATTATGTAACGTTTCCCAACAGGTGTCTGCTAATGCCCTTGATATCAAGTGTCAATGGCTGGAGACTGTTGCATAATATTATATATCTGCTTGTGTTGTAAAACCTGTTTTGGACTGGCCCATGGCAAGAGGTGCTTGATAGGGAAAGTCATGGAAAGTCCCAGTGACATTCACGGTTCAGTGACCAAGGAGAAAAGGTTATTACCATCTCCAGCTTATGAGCAGACACAACTAATGTTCTACTGCTGACAGGAAAAGTGAATGACAGACCTAGCAGTGCTCATGAAATTAGATAATAGTTGCCAGTGCATGAGAGAAAGCACTTGAAACAGTCCTTGTTGTGAACCTGAAGTTAAAATTAAGGTGTTTAGTGTAGGCCAAGTTTCAAATACTATAGCAGCATCCAGGACACCTTACAATTCAATTACTGGTTTCCAAACTACTTAATTAATAAAATGTACCAGACATTGAGCCAATTAAGCATACAGGTAAAGTTTCTGTATCAAGATGGGCCCAACTAGGGATAACAATCTATTGACATAGCACAAACCTCACAGCACAGGTGCATTACTTATTGGAATTAAGATTAAAACACGAGTAATACAAATGCTCTTAACCTTTAATGTGCTTTATTTGTGGCTTAAGTGACACATTCTGATATCAAACCGCTTATGACGATATCCTTGAGTCCGTAGTCACTTAAATAAGTCAGCCATATGTTTGGTGAATTGAAAATGACAATGAATTAGATAATTGCATTTGTACATAACGCATAATATTTTTTGATAATATGGGGGAAAAACTCATCTTCATGGAATATTTAAATCTGTTGAAAACTTGTTTGAGTTTTACTTCTACAAATTCGTGATATTGTAAATGCATGCACAATTACATTAAACTTCCTGTTTCCTCATATAGCACTTTCAGAAGTTGCATTTTTAACGTTAAATGTTATCTTGCCAAAGCATAATTTATTTTTAAAAAGTTTGAAGGGGGCCCTAGATTGCTATTGCAGTAGTGAGTGACTATGGTTTTACATCGCTTATTTAGCAATATTTCAGCAATAAGGCGGGGAACACCAGAAATTGAGCGCAATTGGGGAATCAAACCAGGATCTTTAGCGTGACGAAGGAACGCTTTAATCACACTCCCTACTGTAGCGGTTAAGCTTGAGTACCATGGGATCCCTTTAATTTCTTACACTGTACAAGAATTCATTAGTGTAGTGGTTAAATTGAGGACCTTGTGGGTCTGAGCTGTGGTAATTTTCATGAACATTCAGCCCCCATGGAGATTCCGGGTTAAAATAGTTCTCAAGCAACCTTTCCTTGTTGTAAGAGGTAACCAAATAGTGGATTGTTGCTCATAACTTGTTTGGTGATTGCATGTCATCATACCTCAACGACATGGATTGTTGCTCATGATATGGATCAATGGATTTTAGAGGTAGCTGTCATATTGTAAGCTAGGATATTGCCGAGCAAAGGAATGTTGTTAATGTTAGACATTGTTAAGAAGAAGAATTTATTTGTGACAAATGTTCATGACGAACTAATATTTCTTGATGCCAACCCATAAAGATCTGGGTTAAAATAGGCCTTAAGCAACCAATACTTGCCGTTAAAGGCGACTATGTTTGTCGTAAGAGACGACAAATGGACTCAGACTTGCTGTCTAATTTGATGCATGTAATCATATTCCATTTGCGTAGATCGATGCTCATGATGTCAATTACTGGATTGTCTGGTCCAGACTTGATTCTTTACAGGCCGCCTTTATATAGCTGAAATATTGCTGAGTGTGGCGTTAAAAACAACTTGTTGATGCCAGTCATGCTAATGATTGTTCTTCTTTCTTGCAGGAGAGATCACCCTCTTCTACATCATCTACTATATCTGTCTTGCTGGCTTCTTTGCGGCATGCTTTACTGTATTCAATACAACACTGGATGAACATTTCCCCAGATTAATGCATGAAGATAGTTTAATACGAGCAAATCCAGGTAAGGAATCAACTAGTTGACTGTTTTAAAATTATCTGAAAATCAAGGTGTCTTGTCAAAAGTTTTATGTCATTGTGTTGAAATTACATTGACCATTGTTGACCCTTGTTCAGATTTTTGTTAAGTTATGTTTTGGTGTGACCAAAGAGAGGTGATTAAACACAAGCCCTTACCACTGAGTGACAGATCATCTGGGTTCAGTGAGAATACTGATATGATGATATGGTACAATGGACTGGACCAAAGGTTTATAGAAACAGGAATATTATGATGTATGACATGTATGTGTCAGGTAGATCTTGTGTTTTGCCCATAGTTTCAAATTTGTATGGGTCCTTATCATCTTCAGTAAATCTGTGTGTCAATTTATATTTCACAATAAGCTACATTTTTTTTAAACGAGGGCCCGAAGAGTTTAGTCTCGGCCTGCAGCTTCTTAAGTCTGTTGGTCCTGACGGCAGCCTGGTAATAATATTTTTTATTTCAAACACTTTCAAGTACTTGATAAATCATTGTATGACTCCAAGAAGTATCACATATTGCTCATTAGGCTATCAAGAAATATATCCTGCTAGTCGCATAACCTTTGTAGGTGGACCACCCAAAGCGCGAAACGCTGTGCATTACGGCCATTTAGGGCAGTACAGGGGACGCACCCCTTTGAAAAGTTTATAATCTAGACTGCAAATGGTCAACTTGGAGAAAGAATTTAAGACATTTTCAAACACATTTCTTCTTGCATTATAAGATGACAAGATGAAAGGAATCTGGAAAAATGTTAAAACTTACTGCTATGATGTCTACCTGATATTTAAATTCTATCTTCACAGACAATCGGTCATTCTCACATCGTAGGCCGATCATAAATTTGATAGCCACTGCACACTGATAAATCCTTTTTGCCAGGGTTTGATTCTTGAGCTGGGATAGTATTTGAAGACCATTCATGATGTCCCTGGTGGTAGTATTGTTGCTGTTTGTTCATGAAAGACATCTTCTAATTGTGATAATGATTTGTTATCACTCAGAGATTTTAAGATCAATTTTTGTTTGCAGGAATGGGATTCCGGCCTATGCCAGACCTCGCAACAACTTTAATCCGTTATGAGATGGCCAATGCAAAAAGTTATGAGCCATATGTGAAGCACATCAATGACTACCTGAATAAAAGTGAGTAGCAACAAGCTCTGTTGATTATTTTCAGATTTTAGGACATGCTTAATGTCCTTAAAATTTGAAGATTATTTCTGTCTGACAAACAAGTGTTGGGTCTTGGATGTTCAGTCTTGATTGATTGGATCATCATTTGTTCATATATATAGTTGGTAGTGGTGCTTGACATATATATCTATATTCCAATACCATATTCGACATAATAAGCACCCACAGCGATTTTTGCCAATATATTTTGGCTAGTGAACAATCCCAATTAGCACCCTTCCGATTGATCAATGTACACAATACTTATATATTCGTGTATAATACGCACTAGTGTGTTATATGCACCCTTAATTACGGGCAATTAAATTCTGGATAAATATATCTTTGGTGTGTAATATGCCCAGACTTTTCTTTTGTATCATTTCAGGCTGTGAGCATAAACCGTAAAATTTACGATCTTTCAACTCTTTCACCAAAATTATATTCTAATAAGAGCCCCCTATTTTTTATTTTGAGAGTGCCCTGGGCGCTTATTACGTCAAATATGGTATCTTATATTTTGGCCTTGTTTGACCACGCTTCTTAAATTCAAAATTTGTTTATACCTCTGTAAACACCTGCTGAATTCGTAAGGCTGAGGAAGCTGAACTTTAGCATGTTTCTCCTTATGATGTCATTGTATTTTCAGTTCATTAGATTTTAGTGTTGGTTATTAATAGTAACAGCAACTTTTGTTTTGTGTCCCCATATATTATTTTTAAACTGGCTACATATCCAGGTGAGCTACATTGCCATGGCACGATTTTTGGGATGTGTATATATTGAGAGTATTTGGGATGGAAAATGTTTCAGGTTAATTTGCATTCTTGAATAGGATCATGTACTTGAGAGAGTGCTCCTTTGGAATGTTGACAAACAGACTGTTGTTTCAATAACATTAATTGTAATGTTTTGTGTGTAGATCACAGAAATGCCAGTGGTGAACTGGTTGATTGTCCGGATGGAGTGACTCGCCCTGAAGAGTCTAAAGCCTGCATAGTTGATCTCAATTCTACACTGGCCACATGTGGAGAAGACTTCGGTTTCAAAATTGGAAAACCTTGCATTCTGCTCAAGTTAAACAAAGTAAGTTGCATCAGGTATTTCAGTAAGGTCTGTTAATCAGCATGTTGGCATTTATAAGTGACAGGTCCCCTGCAGTGTCCTTTTCACCATTGGCACTAAAGCTTTATATGGCACATTGTAAAAGTACAGGTGGGTCATGTTGGCACACTTGTGGAATTAAGAATAAATCTAAAATGCATTATGAGTTTGTTTATACTTGCTAACTGTTGCAAAACTCAAAACTACGTCGGCTTTCACTGCTACAAAATTAGCTCTACTTTGCTTTGGCCAAACGATTTGAGTACCTGAACTAGTCACATGATTATGTTACGAATGACAGTGCTATGCCAACAAATCAGTGTAATGAGAAAAACCAAAGCGCTTTGTAAAGCTGATTGCGATTTGTCTATTCTCTTAGTAAACTCATCACATTGCTTGTGGCAGTTTTAAACTTTAGTTGCTATGTTGGAATCACCGGTTGTCAAACGCCCATGTCAGTCAGGAATTCTTAGAAACTTTAGTACTTTACCCATGACTATCATTTGACCAACCAGCAAATCATATGCAATGTACCATGCTTTATTGTTTTACAAATTCATTTTGAAATGTTAATCGTTCAAGAAATGTGTTGAACAGATGTTGCTTTCTTTTCTTCGTGTTCGAATTGTTGACCTTGCCTGTATTGGAAGATAAAAATAGTTAGTGAACTCGCACTCTCAAATACTAAGTACTGTATGGTTAACAAATAACAGCAATTTGACATGGCCTCCAATATTTTCTAAATGGCCCACATGACAGAAGACAGGTGGCCCATGGGCCCACATTTTATAAAGGCTAGGATGAACACTGCATGTGACTGAAAAGAGCAACAAATTTCATTAACCATGCAGCACAGACCAATATCTTGTATTTTTCTTTGCAAATAACGTATTTTGTCCTGATTTCCAAGAGAATTGGACAGATATTAATCACTGGCGTTTTTCTCCTTTTGGTTAATTGTGTATTCTTTCAAGGGTATGTGCATGATGACGAAAAGTTACATTACTGTCGTATTACTTATTATTCCAAAGGAACAGCTGTTTCTTTATTTGAAGCCATATTCATAATGAATATTTATTTTCAGGTATTTGACTGGACTCCGGAGCCTTTTGAGTCTGACAGCCTGCCCAGTAACATGCCTGAGAGCCTTCAGGCAAAATATGATCAGACCAGTATATGGATCACATGTGAGGGAGAGGTAAGTCATTTGTTGTCCACATTTTAGCTCTAAAGAGCTTTTGCCCTGTACTCCACGTCACAGTTGGTGGCCAGTACCCAAAACTTGTTCTAAGAGTAAGAGTCAATAGAAATGTTTTTTTGTTTTTTTACTTAATCTGAGGCTGATATACAACCCCACATTAGCTGCATATGTCAATACCAAATGATGTGTATGGCTCTGTAGAGGTGACTTGTATTTCCCTGATACAAGGACTGTTAAAGAGAAAGAGGCTTAATTCTTACATATTCATTATTGCATTAAATGTATTGATAAACTTGTTAAGATACCTCTAAAAATGAGAAAATAAGACGGAAAGAACTTTTGTTCCTAGGTTGAACCGAAAGGATTTTTCCTCCAAAGGGCACGTATTATGGAATCCTAGAAAATCCCTGGGTGATTACAAAATATAACCTGGCTAGTTGCATGTCATCATGCCCTGCCTTTGTCATAACATAACCTCACCCTTGTGCATCTTGTTTTCAGAACCCTGGTGATAATGAGAACCTGGGTGAGATCGAGTACCTGCCAAAGCAAGGCTATGACTTAAAATACTACCCATACAAGAACCAGAAGGACTACCTGTCGCCCCTTGTATTTATCCGTCTCGCCAATATTACCCCAAATGTTGGTATGCTTATAGAGTGCAAAGCCTGGGCAAAGAACATCTGGCACGACAGACAGGACAGACAGGGCAGCATTCACTTCGAAATCATCATCGATTAATGTTTTGACTTAGTATAAAATAGGCATTTATCAATTTGGGAATACTCTGTGGGACAAAGTCGTATCATTGAAGACCTGATCCTAAATTTGTAAGACTAGACATGGTAAAAAAAAGGGACGTTAACAGTGCTGTTTGTTTAGATGTAAAGTATGAATTAAGCGTAGCACTGTTTTTAAGATCTATTGAAGGTCAGTCTATGTACATATGACTTTCATCCCAAAGGTTTTGTATTAAAATCCCTCCACACCTTGGACTGGAAAAAATTACGCCAGTAATAAATTAAATCAGTGTACGGAATACATCTTGAATGTTGAATATGAAATTGTTACCAAATGTGATAAAAATAATTAAATCTTATTAAACATTGTTAAAATCTTTGTGTGAATGGTGTCTATAATTTTTAACTAATTATATCAGATTTTAGATGTAGCTCATTAGATATCTAAAGCTTTATGTAAAAAAGTGTAAATAGATTGTTAGCGTTATGAGATTCTTTCTTTTTCGTCCAGATCTTTTTTTTTTCATTATTGGTTGTTAGAAATAATATTGTATGTTACTGTACTGTCAGAAATAGGACATTTTGTATGTCCTGTACCTTATTCTGAACTTGACAGAATGGAGAAAAAAATGTTATTAAACGGAGATGCCATCTTTATGACAATCTGAATATAAAGTTTTTAATTGTGTGATAGATTCAGTTTTATAATTTTGTAGATTATATTGTCCTAGAGAAATAGATATATTGTCTTTATCATATAACCTGGATTATGAGCTGACTAGAAATGGAATGCCTTATGAAGCAAGTTGTATGATGTTCTATTTGGCATTTGTTGTAATCTAATTTGTGCATAAGCTTCCCTTGAAATAGTGCAATTGTTTCATAAGGTGTTCGATACTATAGTTACTTTCTTAGGATAAGCTGAGGGTTTTGTCTGAGAGTGTTCATTGTGCAAATGTGATGTTGATTGACAAGGTATACCTTGATGGTGAAGTTTACAAGTGAAGGTAACCCTACATTTGGTAGGGCCTGATCATTGTACATGGCACATTGTGTGAATGACGATGTATGCAAGAATATTCACGCATAGGCTGGCTTTGGAAATAGCGGATATACACACTAAGGATTTTGGTATGGGTTTATGAAAGGAATAATGTTTTAACAAAAGTGATATGGATCGATATTTGGAAGGAAAATATTCTTGATGGTAAAGTCACATGTTCTGCAGTGAAGATTTGATTGCACTTCGAACTGATTTCAAAAAGAGCGCCTGATATTCACTTCAACCCCACAGTGCAAAATGTGTATGTATAAATGTGTGTATCAATAAGGAGTGAATCCTGATGGTTGAAATCGACCATCGCTTATTTCACCATTTGTCAGCACATTCCCATGTAGGTAGTTATATATATATGTGTGATATCTTAGGACATTCTATTCAGGGAGGAATCTTGATTTGAACATGTTCACCAGTCTTGGTGACACATAACATTGGGACATTGTTATCACATGCGACATACAAGTGTTATTGACGAGAATATATTTCACAATCTACACCAAAAGTTTTGTCATATCAAGACCAATAAACTTAGTGTTGAGAAATGTGTGTGCCATAGTTGAAGTCAATAGTTTGATCTAAACTCAATCAAATGAACATTTCTCCGCTGCCCCATGTAATTGTTTATGATCACTTGTAAGAAGCCAATGTTTGTGAGCCATTTTTAGAAACGGGTTGGGACCCTGGTTTGGCCAAGACGTTTGTCTGACTGACTGTCACCAGTTCTATGCATTTCTACATTCACATTGTCGGATTTTAATATTTTTGTCTTTTTATGGCAATGTTCACCATGGTCGTTTTAGATTCCTGCAAATGCTATAAGAATAACAGGCCATAGGTTGTAAGTGCAAGCATATCACAGGTTGATTGGTTTGTTAGAACTGCATGGCATTTCTTGAATAATTTGTGTCATATTCTTCACATATTCAGAACAATTTGCATGTACTTATTTCTAAATTTTTAAACTTCATCACAGTTCATTTCTATTTATCTCTTTGTACTTTGTCTGTTTTATCAACATCAGTTTCAACTTATCCCTTCAGACTAAGTACTTAGTTGTCCTAATTTAAGTATCATACTTCACAAGGAAAGATATTTCCTCTGTGAGGAGTGATTGTCTTTTGCTTTTAGTTCTGTACACCATCGTAGAATGTTAACCAGATATCTGTGAAACGGAATAAAATTTTGTTTTAATACATCTCAACTTGTGTTTTTATTATGATCAGTGATGAAATGGTTCAGTCAGACTGCAACTGATTTCTGAATCAGCATGTTGGATGGAATGACTTGTAGATTAAATATTTGTTTATTGTTTACTATGGACTTGGCAATATTCAAGCTATGTCACTGATATCTGTAAAGAGTGGAGTTGGACCAGCTGAACGACTGATAGATATGAGCAGACGTCCCATGCTGTCTTGGTGATGAGGCCTAACACCGGATATGTTGTAGTCGCATCTTACCACGTGCATGGATGGAGACCTTTTCTATCTCTACATGCGGGTCAAGTCAGTGCACTGGCAGAACTGATGCTTTCTGTGTCGATACATTCCAGACCTACAGCCATGGCTTCATCAATAATAAGAGGATGTCTTTATGGCTCCATTGAGCAGAAGTTCAGCAGATGTGAATTGTACATTTAGGGTTAGCATTACAGACATGTGGGAGTTATGAATATTTGTTTAAGGCATCAGTGAGCACTATTCCAGCTTTATCATGCAGCCTGTTTGGGACTGACTGTGGACTAGGCAAACTGGTGATTGAAGGCATGAGCAGTGGCACAGCCCATCGTGTGATTTGGACAACCCGATCCTCTTTAATAAAGGGATACCAAACAACATGTAGCAAGATAGGTTTAGTGGGTTCCACACACACCCAAGTATAATAGAGAAAGGGGAGGTAGGGTAGTGGCCCTTTTTGGACACAAGTTTTAAAATAGCGGAAAACTTTGAAATTTTGGTTTAAACATTTTCAGATATTCAAATAGCTGATAACTATAGCCTTTTTCATTTCTTAAATTTGCAAGGTTTGGACTTACGACATGATCAAATACAAACGTATGGCTAAATTGTGTGAAAAAGGCTGAGTTTCTTAACATCAAAAGTATGAGCAATTCTGTGACCCAAGATGAATTTTCTACCTTTCAAACTTTGAAAATCAGCTTGGGTCAAAGACTAATTTATGTTAGATAAAAGGTAATTATTCACGAAAATGTCTAAAATCAGCGTTTTGTGTTAGCGTCATAAGTCCCAAATAGACAATAGTTGAAATGATCAAAGTATCATTCTATGAATACTTATGATAACGTTCACAACAATTTCAGCGACTATGCTTGTCGTTAGAGACGTCTTTCGGGATCGGGTGGTCAGGCTTGCTGACTTGGTTGATGCATGTCATCGTATCCCAATTGCGTTGATCGATGCTGATGATGTCAATCATTGGGTTGTCATATCCCGACTCGATATATTTACTACGAAAGCCCATTAGGACCATATTGGTATTTTGTTTTTTCTCTTTTAAAAGTCCCGGCGTTTAACAGCAAACAAAGAAACATAGCAGTTTTTTGCCCAAATCCCTTTTGAAAATCCTGTGGGCAAAAAAGGCCCTTATCCTGCCTCGCCCTTTGCTTGGTATTGGAAGACAGAGATTTCACAATCTGTATGTGCAAAATAAATTCACACGTATGTTTAAACTGGCCAACTTTGATTATTTACAGGATGGGTGCAATATCGCTGCTTGGGATATAAAACAACCCTCAAGTTGTATTTTCGCGCTTCGTATGAAGAGAGTTAGGCACTCGTGGTGCTTGGCACGCCGACTTTGAGGTACAGCCTTTACCGCAGACGACACGGAAAGTCACTCATGATCAAACTATTTGGATTAAACTTGTGTGTTGTTTATTTACAGCACTGAAATGTAACCTTTACACGACAGACATTATTTACCTGCTTCACTGTATCAATAAAGTATGTGTCTATTTTTGTCCAAGGTTGTCTGGTATTAAAGCCTGCTCGATGTTGATTCAAGCTGACTTTCTTCCATGCAACGTTTTACCGCCATAACGACATTGAACAAATTATGTTATTAAGCCCTTGCAGTCCGTGTAAAGAAAGGCAATTGAATGTGTTTCTTATAGACAACTCTTGATTTAAAACTGTTGCTATGAAATGCCAACTTAAACCGATGCCGTCGTCGTCCTCAATGTGCACGAATTTGAACACCCGTGCACGTGCAATGGGTGACAGCCCGTGCGATGAGTGACAGCCCGTGCAAAACGTGCACGTCGATTGGCATGAGAACGTAGAAATATTTGAATAACTTATTCCGGAGTTAAATAATTCGTTCAACTCTATTCATTGTGGGTCATTCATACGCTAAGCATATTATGATTGGGTTCGATTCCTCAAATGTTTAGGCTATGAGGTCACAATAAATTGATTATTTGCTGTCGGATTTGAGGGCGGGAGTTTCGTGAATAGATTGCTGATTGCCAATGTGGGAACGATATTTCATCTTCCAATTCGTAATGGTAATTGTTGTGATGTAAATGGCTTTCGTCTTGTTCATAACGCACAGGCTGCATGTTTTGTACAAGGCCAATGAGGATTGTGATTATTACTCGACAGCAATTAATTAACCTCTCAAGGGTTTATTTACACCTCCCCAAACAGCTGAGAGAGAATGAGAGTCGGAAAGCATCGGGTTAGTCCTGAAGCCCTGAGGGTGTTCCGATCGTTGAGAAGATATGCGTTGAAAATATCGATATCGAAACACAGAAAATTCATTAGTTTAATTAGTTTCAGTCGTAAATATAGGAAAAGGTTTTTTTCATAGTTTAGGAAAAAAATATGCCTTTACATGGTACACTAGGCAACGTTGTAGAAAAATACAAAGCGGGTTAAACCCGCGAAGATCCGGAGTAGAATAGGTCTTCAGCAACCCATGCTTGCCGTAAAATCGACTATGCTTGTCGTAAGAGACGACCAACGGGATCCGGTTGTCAGGCTCGCTGACTTGGTTGATGCATGTCATCGATCCCAATTGCGTGGATCGATGCTCATGATATCAATCACTTGATTGTCTGGTCCAGACTCGATTATTTACAGACCACCGTCATATAGATGGAATATTGCTGAGTGTGGCGTAAAACAACCAACCAACAAAGGGGTTTAAAATGTTCCAGCGTCTTTGAAAACATGAATTCTGGGTAAATAGGCACGTGACAAGGTCATATTACCCAAGGTCATTTGTTGATTGGTTGAGTCTGTAGTCGTAATTTCACCATTTTAAATACATAAAAATCAACATAAAGTGAAGAAATGAATATTATTAATATGACGGCGATGTGTAAAATTAATATACAATTCTGGGCAAGCGGGCCGTTGATTGAGGCCATGCGTAGTGACCCACGCTGTTGGGGTATGTTAAGACGCGCAGTCAGCCAGGTCTCTGAGTATATCCTATCGCTAGTTTAATCCGCGCTTGCCTCAAGGCGAGGTAATGGGGAACCTATTCAGTGTCAGAATATTCCCATAGAACCATCGAGTAGCCATAGTACGAATTTTTTGTCTCTCCAATATTAAATCATGTCTCTGTTATTAGATCAGACCCGACCGCGTCATATCAAAAGACATTAAAAAATGGTACTTGTTGTTTCCCTGTCTGGCGATCGGCATTAAGGGGCTAAAACAAAGACTGGTCGGCTCGGAGTCAGTATACTGTGTCTGAGTGGGGTATTCATGTTAAACTGCGGCATGGTATCTCAGTGAGCTGGCACTATAAATCGGCGTCAGTCAGGACTAGTACAAGCAGCCACACACACACACACACACACACACACACACGTGCATGCACGTCGCTATATATGTGACGTTAAACCCAAATTCACCTGACATGTTATTAGATCATGTCTCTCTGTTATTGGATCACGCATCTCTGTTATTGACTCATGTCTCTCTGTTATTGAACAATGTATCTCTGTTATTGAATCACGTCTCTGTGTTATTGAATCATGTCTCTCTGTTATTGGATCACGCATCTCTGTTATTTAATCAATTCTTTGTCACTGAATCACGCCTCTCTGTTATTGAATCACGCCTCTCTGTTATTGACTCATGTCTCTCTGTTATTGAACAATGTCTCTCTGTTATTGAATCACGTCTCTCTGTCATTGAATCATGTCTCTCGGTTATTGAATCACGCATCTCTGTTATTTAATCAATTCTTTGTTACTGAATCACTTCTCTGTTATTGAATCACGCATCTCTGTTAATGACTCACGTCTCTCTGTTATTGAACAATGTCTCTCTGTTATTGAACAATGTCTCTCTGTTATTGAATCACGTCTCTCTGTTATTGAATCAATTCTTTGTTACTGAATCACTTCTCTGTTATTGAATCACGCCTCTCTGTGATTGAACATGTCTCTCTGTTATTTAATCCCACCTCTCTGTTATTGTGTCATGTCTCTCTGTTATTTAATCCCACCTCTCTGTTATTGAATCATGTCTCTCTGTTATTGAATCCCACCTCTCTGTTATTGAATCCTGTCTCTCTGGTATTGAATCCCGCCTCTGTTATAGAATCATGTCTCTGTTATTGAATCATATCTCTCTGTTATTGAATCACGCCTCTCTGTTATTGAAACATGTCTCTCTGTTATTGAATCACGCCCATTTAATTGAGTCATGTCTCGTCTTATTGTACCCGTGAAGTACCTGGTTAGAATTGGTCTTAAGCAACCCGTGTTTGTCGTAAGAGGCGACTAGCGGGATCGGGTGGTCGGACTCGCTGACCTGGTTGATGCATTTCATCGTATCCCAATTGCGTGGATCGATGCTCATGATATCAACCTCTAGATTGTCTGGCCCAGACTCGATTATTTACAGACCATCGTCATATAGCGGAATATTGGTGAGTGTGGCGTTCAACAACAACACATACACAAAATCTCTGTTATAGAATCACTCCTCTCATTTGTTTAATTATGTCTCTCTGACATTGAATCATGTCTCTCTGCTATTTAATCATAGTGAATCATTGAATCACGCCTATCTCTTCTTTTTATCATATCTCTGTTATTGAATGCCTCTGATATTTGATAATGTCACTCTGGTATTGCATCACACCTCTCTTGGTCTTAATTACGCCACTCGTTTATCGAAACGTACATTGTATATGTCCGCTGTGTAATCAC